TTGCGTGTGAGGTATCATTAACAATAGCCGCCAGTGCCGTACAGAGTATGATGGGCTAATCCGTATATACCCAACTAGTATAGTAGCATAGTGAAAAATCTCGTCGCTCGGCAATTCGACATTCACGCTCGCTCGGGCTCGGGCTCTCGCCTGACTAATGGTATAAGTATATTATATATAGCCGAGCAACAGCTCCGAGCGCTATGCGCTGCAGATACATATCAGTTTAGCAGCAGTGATGCAAGCTGGAAGCAATATAGCGAGAGCAGTAGCAACAGAAGCAGCTAGCTAGCTAGCTCGCAGCATCGGAATAATTGAAAGACTTTCCAAGTCTGGAAATAGAATCGTTCCCCCCTTCGCTGCGTGTATACGTTGTATATGCTCTCATACACAAAGTACCTCATATCGGTGCACACACGTATAGATGTGTATATATAACGGAGGTATATATCTGCTATATACGCAACATCGAGTTAGGCGCGCTGCGCAGCAAAGAGGGATCACTGTATAGACGACGCGCGTAAGCTTCAATCCATCGATAACAAGTAAAACCTATACGTCGTCGTCGACGGCGGTGCGATGTAGCATACGCATGTATAACACCGATCTGAAGGTTCGACGAGCTAGTAGTAGTAGTGGTATAGAGAGAAAAGAGAAGCTCGAGCTAGAGCATTATGTATAGAGGCGAGCCATAAGGAAGCCTTTCAACGTCGACGTCGAAATTAATTTCACAAAAGAAAGACAGATTAAGTTTCGACGTATTTCTATTTACTTCTTCCTTCTTTTTTTTTTGCTCGCGTCAAGACTCGATCCACCGTTCCGCAGATTTTTTGTTTCCCTTTTATAATACAATCAAACGCATCCGTATGCAACTCGAACGGCGCAGTCGAGCCTGATGCGCGCGAGCGAGCGAACTCCATCCTATATACATACTGATTTAGCGCCAATGCGTCGCGTAAAGCTCCGTGCGTAGCATTGAAGTGTAGTATAGTACGACGAGCACTGCAGTAGCAGGTATTATTATATATACGAGGCAGCTGAAAGACCCGCTAAATGAAATCCGACGTACGGAACGAATAACCACTGTCATTTGCAACTGGTTGTGCACGCCCGTGCGTAGTACAGCAGAGAGACGGAGCTGCTGCTGCACACGGGGGTGGTGCGCGGCTCTTTCTCTCGCTCGACTCTCTCTAGCAGCAGTAGCAGCAACAGCGAGCGAGAGCTTCAAGCTCGACGGAGTAACTCGATCATCCTACGTTTCGTCTATATACATGTACGTATAAACGCGCGTAAACGAAATCTCTCTCGATTCAGTCACTCTCTAGGCGCGCGTGTATCGCACGCGTACCACTATACCAAATAAATATAGTAAACACAGTGCACACACGTATATTCGGGGGTGTATGGTAGGAGTTGCTCACGCGCGCGGGGCCTTTTAATCGTGTTGCGCCTCTCTCTCCCTACATCTGCGTACAGAAGCTCGATCAGGTTGACGCACTGCCTATACACCACCTACTACTAGCGATATAGGTGCTTCATTTCCTGCAGCTAAAGGCAGGCGTGTTTCGGGGCGCACTGCGCGACAACGGAAAAGGGGACACACAGAGACACGCGAGCCCAGCCGTGAAAATACTGGTTGGTCAGCTCCTTAAATAAGCTTATAATTGACTCTCGAGCGAGTCGTGTCACAGAGAGAGAGAGAGAAGCCCGGACGACGACTACTCGACGTCTATCAGTGGCGGCCCGGTCGTGTTTGCCGTCGAACGCTCGTATCCGCATCACACACACGGCCAGCTATAGCTATACTCTTTCCTTTTGCGCTTTCTCCGAAATTAAGCCCCGAGAACGTTTGAATGACGCTTCGATGACATCGACGCTGCGCCGCTGCTCTTGTGTCATGTCGCGTATTATAATTTGTATTATATATATACTGCTTCGTCATCGGGAGAAGACCAAACATCGAATCCAATCCGAAGTATTATTAATCGAAAAGATTCGAGAACCGCAGCTCGAGCTTTCAGACTTTTCTCATTTGTCTCTCGTTTATTTCTGGCTTTAATTGCGCGCGCGTGGATGATCGTAAATAAAAATAGCCGGAATCGATCTTAACCCATACACATATTACACGCGACTGCGTCTTTGATCAATGACAAAATTGGATCATCATCCGCTTTATACGTTGCTCGTATGTAACACTTTGACAGCTGCGACCACGCGTATACACGTACCCACGAACACAGACAGACAGACAGGCACTTTTATCTCATTTCGAGCGAGCGCAATATACTGTCAAATGAGGAAATATAAAGAAAGTCGAGCTATCTGCGCTGCTGCTGCTGCTGCTGCTGCAACACAATCCTCCAACGATGCAATAACATTAGCTTTCAAAGCGCCCCAGACACATCCCCCTGACACTGCGGGCTCGACTCTCTTGCCCTCCCCCCCGTCTCGTCCTGGCCCCGGCGTGTATAAAGTACAGCATTTGCTAAGTCGAGTATGTGTGTACCGTGTTCATGAAGTAAAAGGCATCTATAGCATTTACCTTTTGAGACTATGAGAGCTGCTGCGCCGCGCGCGCGGAAGAAGATGGCCTCTCCGATAAAAGCGCGGCGGGAATGTAATAAGCGCGAGAAAAGGACTTTTCTCTCTTTCTCCCTTTTCTCCGGGGCTAGCTAGCTTCCTCTCTCTCTCTCTCGTCCTGCCTGCCTCTTTCTCGGCTTTTCTCCTTCTCTTTCGGAGCGTCAAGTATGCTTCTTTTATTTTCTTGAAAATAAAAATACCCGCTCCTTCTCCTCTACACCCCTGCTGCTACTGCTGCCCGTCTTTTTTTTCCTAAATGGAGAATTCAACTTCAGTCCGGAATAAAAGTAACGCGATAAGGGATATTACGGGCCGGTCCGTGGTACACATGCACACACATATAACACTGTACATACGCGGCCGGGGCACTCGTCCGAGCCTAGTGCGAAACAATTTTTTTCTTCTTCTGCCTAACGCGCCCGAGAATTTATTCAAGAGGAAAATTACGAGGACGCTTCGAAAAAGGTTACTTTCTCACGCATGAGCAATTTTTTGAGATGTCATTTAAATAACCATGCGTAGGGTCTGTTGATGCTGTATATGCACGCTCAATAATGGCCGATGCGTACACGAGTGAGTCCGCGGCTGAGGCTGAGGATAAAAAATATATCGCCCTATAGCGCGTCGTAATCTATAGATTCGTGATGTGCGAAATAGTTTAATACGGACGTCAATGGTGGAGAAGTTGGCAAACACACAGATCGACCGATGACGAACTCGAGTTAAAGAGCGCGTCGATAGAGATCGTTTTTGTGCGAATGCAAATTAACTCGAGATAGAGAGAAGAGCGAACATAGAAAAAAAAATAAATAAAGAAACGGAAAGACGGCCGACTCCGAAAGGGGATTGAGCAAACGAGAGAAATGATTCTTTGTGCTCGCGAAGCGACGCGTCAACTCCGCGCTCCCGTCCGATGATGATGCCCATGGAAGATAGAAAGCAGCAGCAGCTCCCGCGTACACTCGATTATTAAGCGCAAAAATTATATACCTTTGAGTTCGAGCGCGCGCACTGCACTGTGAGTAGGGGAGAGAGAGAGAGAGAAGAAAAAAATGTGAAAGAAAACTTAATGATCGCGCGAGACCGCAAAATCAAATTAGTTAATTAATGAGAGGCATTTCAACGGCTAATGCTGTTAGCTAATTTATATGTATGGACTGGTGTGCGTGTGTATTTATATGTGTGTGTGTACACTCTGGTGAATTTACCGTGACTATACTGTATGTATATAATAGCCCCATGCACACACACACGCACGAGAGAGAGAGAGAGAGAGGCGAGTAACGCGAGAGGAAGTGCCTTCGCGCGAGGGCGCGAAGGGCGAGGGGTCGCCTCGCATAGCATAGCACAGGAGAGAAAAAAGATTTCCGAGAGAGAGAGAGAGAGAGAGAGAGCCAAGGCAAACAGGGGACTGTTATTCGGAATAATTACAAACACAGCAGTATAGTATACGCCCGGGTACACCACGGTAGACGTAATTATATTCCTGACACATGCGACGAGCAGCAGCAGCAGCAGCCGCTACTGTGTGTGTGCGTTGCGCGTGGCCAGAGCGCAATACGAGCCTGTGCCGAGGACGACGGCGACGACGACGACGCGCTAGTCTGCGGCGACAGCGTGTAATTCGCTCGAGAGCTGCGACTGTATATAGTGTACCTACCTACTCGCAAAATACACCGGCATCGGACCCGCGAATCATATTTCATACGAAGATCCCGCGCGCCGCCGCTCATTCTCTCTCTCTCTGTGTTTGCTCAGAGCTCACCGGCCACTCACGCGATAAATAAAAGTGTAAAAAGGCAACGACAAAAAAAAAATGAATAAATTACATTTAACGCGGCGACGCGCGACGACGAGACCCTTCTCTCTCTCTCTCTCTCGGGCGCGCGTGTGCGAGCGAAAAATGCCTCGATTAGCCCTGTAATTAGCGAATTTAAATTACAAATTACACGAGTGCACGAGCGATTTTGCCGTAACGCTTATTTATGCTTCGTATGACGCATTGCCGAGCTAATATGGCTATGGCTGCTGTACGATGATCGACGCCGCGCACGGAGAGCTGTAATCGAGATATCGCGAAGATTTGTGCATATATGCGGTGTTGCTCGGCTGCTGTAGCGAAGATTAGAACTAGGACGGTTCAGGTTCGACGTTGCAGATTTACTTATATTATAGGTACCAGCATTATTAGACACCTTTCAGGATATGCTATAAACCTGCTAACCATACCCGTACTTGATCATGTTATAATGAACTTGAAAATTCGCGCTCCATGCATCGCACGCCATCTACACTAATCCAGCTAACAATTCGTTCATTTCCAAAACGCAATACAGGGGTCACTTTTGTAAAATATAGCCATGTCACATGACTCATGACTATCGTAGTTATGTTACAACTACCAGTAGCCTTAGTGAGTAATTCAACTTCATCTTTTTATACTTTCACACCTGTATCACATCTTGATAACATGCGAGTGTTACCTAGATTTCAGTATAGGATTGTGTCAATGGCAATTTGAAAATTTGTAAGTCTCGTTACCTAAAATCGAGGTGTGCAGTGTTGATTTTGGCTACTCAGGCACATAACCTCGAATATTTTCTCAGCGTGTTTCGTGAAAAATCACAGTGAATACATAGAGTAAAGTGAATGATGGAACACAAAGAAGATACAGTTAGGTATGAAATTTTTCTTTAGTAGAATGATACTTTTTAAAGTGATCGCATCATCAAAATCGATTTTGCTTAGGGTGAAGAAAGAGACCAACAATACTTGGTCCGATGCAGGTCACAATAACGTTTTCGATTCATGGAATTCTTGCGAAGAAAAAAAATTTGAGACATTCACGTTTTGCGAATCATCAGTGAGTTCAATGATTCAAACAATATTTTGCTTTTCCCTGTCAAAAACTATTAAACATTTTTAAATTCTAGGCAAATCAAATGAACGAGGCTATGGAGTTTCAGGCGCCGTTAGATGAAAGACGATTAGTAGAATTGGAGTGCAAAGATGTGAAACCTGAACTTCCGGCTCTACAGACAATCATCTGCAAATCGGAGCATCAAAGTTTTATACCAATTGTGAAAATAGAAAACGAAAATCAGTGTAACGACACGAATGAAAAAATATTCATTGATTTTGAGTGCAGAGATGTGAAACCTGAACTGAAGTATTTTTCAACAACTATCGGAAAAATTGAGAATTGCGAGCAATATAAGGATTTGGAAATATTTAAAAAAATATCTAAAACTAAATTATCTAATGAGTGTAAAACGTGTCGAAAAACTTATAAACAAAAAGTTAGTCTCAAAAGACATGTCAATGCAAAACACAACAGTATTAGACCACATCAATGTGAGGTTTGTCAGAAGTCATTTGGACAAAAAAGTCACCTTAAAACTCACGTAAATGCAATACATATTGGTATCAAACCCTTTGAATGTGAGATTTGTCTCAAATCATTTTCAGACCAGAGTAATCTCAATAAACACTTAGGTACAATACATGATCGTAGAAAACCCTACGAATGTGTGATTTGTCACAAATCATTTGGACAAAAAAGTCACATCAATAAACACATAACAACAGTACATGATCGTAGCAAACCGTTTGAATGTGAAATTTGCCGCAAGTCATTTGGACAAAGAAGTAATCTCATAGCTCACATAAATCTAGTACATAATCGGAGCAAACCTTTCGAATGTGAAATTTGTCAGAAATCATTTGGATACCAGAGTGTACTCAAAGCTCACATAAATTCAGTTCATAATTATAAAAGGCCCTTTGAATGTGAGATCTGTCACAAATCACTTGGACAAAAAGGTAACCTTAAACTTCACATAGATGCAGTACATAATCGGAGCAAACCCTACGAATGTGAAATTTGTCGCAAATCATTTAGAGATCAGAGTTATCTCAAAATTCACAGAATGACAGTACACGATCATATCAAACAATTTGAATGTCAGATTTGTCATAAATCATTTGGACAAAAAAGTGACCTCAATAAACACATAACAGTACATGATCGTAGCAAATCTTTCGAATGTGATATTTGTCACAAATCATTTCGACAAAAAGGTAACCTTAAACTTCACATAGATGCAGTACATAATCGGAGCAAACCCTACGAATGTGAAATTTGTCGCAAATCATTTAGAGATCAGAGTTATCTCAAAATTCACAGAATGACAGTACACGATCATATCAAACAATTTGAATGTCAGATTTGTCACAAATCATTTGGACAAAAAAGCCATCTCAAGATTCATATAAATACAGTTCATGATCGTCGATGAGTCAGCTTAATTCTCACATAAAAGTAGTTCACGATTAAATCAAATCCTTCGAGTGTGATATTTGTCACAAATCATTTGGACGAAAACTTTATCTTAATAGTCATGTAGATACAAACAACAACAATAACAACAAACCCTTTGATTGTGATATTCGTCGAAAATAAATTGGAGAAAAAAAATCTTAAAAATCACATAAATGCAGTACATGATCGGAGTAAATTTTTCGAGGGTGATATTTGCATCTAATCATTTGGCATTAATCATCGTAGCAAACTTTTTGAATGTGAGATTTTGCGATGTGTCTTATCATTTGGATACTGGAATGTATTCAAAAAATACAACTTGATAGCCCATGATCTTAGCAAATCATAGAAGTGTGACAATTTTCAGTAGACATTTAGACATAATGATGACTTCTACAATCTAATGAGTATTCTTCGAAATGTTTAAAAATTTTTTACATAAATATCCTGATTTTATTTTCAGAATAATAAAGTATTTCAATATGTTACTCATCGTGTAGTGACTTCAAAAATCCCCTTTTCACTTTTCAGATATAAACACAAATATTTAAACTGTTTCGTGTTCAATTCTTTCTTTCAAGTATTTCCTATTGGATCGATCTTTTAACATTCCAGTATTCAGTTGAACCTTCTCCAAGTACCCCCTAATTAGAATCTGAGTAGAATATCCTTTTGTTGAGGCAATAATTACTCGTGTATATGAGGAGCGTGGAGTGACGCTGCTCTCGTTTGCCATACTTGCCATTCGGAGCGCGACACGCGCTCCTCGTTTCATCAACATCTTGTACTGATAATTTTCGAACACGCGAAAGACTAAACAATATGCAAGTAGTATCAATTAAATTCATCCAAAACAATGTATATGTCTCATGAAGAAAAGATTTTATTTTGCAATTATCCTTTGACTGCAATCAACTGCGTACCGTAAGTACTTCCTCTTGCCTCGACGCTCACATATAAATTTGATTCACGAATGGGATTTTGCCAATGTGTAGAGTATGCATGAGTCGCTTAGAATACCCATATTCAACCAAAAATTACGCCAAGAGTAATTACCTCTGTAAAAGCCAAATGAGTTTTTGTTTTTGTACGTACGATGTGAAACGATATCTTCAAATAGCTCGATGCAACATCGTACTTATATGAGTCCAATCCAATGCGTGACTATAACTCTTTCATAGTTACAAAAATCATCATCAGACAGAATTAAATGCGCTGCGGTATAATATACCAGCGCGCTGCGCACGAATTAAAAGGCTATTCCATTATTGAGAATTTAAAAACTCCCATTCGATGCATCGTACGCTATCTACCCAATCACAACACGTTTATTTCGATGGCACGATCGGGTCATCATTTTTTTTTATTTCAAAAAGAGGAAGGATACAGGACGTAATTATTATTTTTTTCTCCCACGGCTGTTGTATATGGATTTGTCAAGCACGAGGCCCGTTATGTACTTTACGTACAGCCTTCAATCTGTATCGAGGATTAGTTGACACAGGGGGGGTTCGCGGTGGAGAGCTAGCTATACATATTCGGCCGATTGATTATATCGACCGAAATGCAATTTCCAGAAAATCCTTTTTCATCGTCAAACAGGCGCGACAGAAGAAACACTGTATGCGGCGGTGGCAGCGAGAGAAAAAGAAAGCCAGAATGAGAGAGAAAAGCCTCCCACGAGTGCGTGACGCATCGAATAACAATCAGTGCCATGCCTCGCGTGAGCTGCCTGCCTGCCACCGCGCGCGCATATCTTTTTTTGATCGTCGCAATCTCCCGCGAGGAAAATATGACGTACATTATGTACAATAATAATAATAATGATAATAAATACGAGTGTGTGTGTAAGGGCTACACACGATCGGAGCCTTACTTTGGTTCAGCGTGTACAGGCTGATGCGAAACCAAACATTACAATCGTGTGTCTCCCTACTCGGTGTATTATATACGTATGCCTATATCCTTTTTAGCCATCAGCTGGGTGACACAAACATATATACGCGTGTAACACACAACACGCCAGACATGCAACAAAAGCTCGAAACAGACGTATTAGGTCTCAAGCCGTACAAGAGAGGTATGCGCCGGGAGGCAGTAGCAGCAGCAGCAGCAGCAGCAGCAGCAGCAGCAGCAGCTCGAGGCAGGAAACTCTTCTTCGGCCATCAAATATTTACGCAGTGCACGCGTCGCTGAGCTTCTGTAGTATTCGGCTAAACTTGGTCACATACACATACACACGTGCATATACCTATGCGACAACGAGAGAGAGAGACCGGAATCCTAGTAGCGTCGCAGTGGCATCGCACCCACGCGTTTGTGTGTGTGCTGCTGTACCTATATAACGTGCCATATAATCTCTGTAGAGCGAAAGAGGCCGAGCTCCACTATCGCGCTCGGCTCGCGTCAGAGGAAAGAGGCAGAGAGGTAGAGAGAGAGGCTGGCAACAAAACCGGTTTTCTCGTCGCGAATTTTCGCGCTTGACACTTTGATCGAAGGAGAGTGGGTGAAACGAAGGGAAAGAGGAAAGAGCAGAGGCTGGCTGATGCTGCTGCCTGTATAACAGTGCCTCGACTATATACTACTACCACTACGATAGTATGCATATAGAGTGTGCGAGAGGCTGGCAGGCGAGAGGCAACACGACTAGGTAGTAGCAGCAGCGAGAGAGAGAGAGAGAGAGAGAGAGAGAGAGGCTGGACATGCAAAAGACAAAGGAGAAAGGACATAGAGGATTATAAAGGTTACGAGCTCGAGCGCCAGACATACACACAGAGAGTGGTATATATAGCGAGAGGAGTGAGACGGAGTTAACGCGCTTGCCACACTCGACTCTTGTGTGTGCCTGGCCTGCCTCTTGCATTATCCCATTTGGCTTATGTTATCGGGGCTATATATGCTTGGCTGACGCCGCCAATGCCGGACGTACGCGAGTAAAAGCGACGAGGAGAGCGAGAACGAGAGAGAGAGAGCCCACGCAAGGTCAAGTTAAAGCTCCGAATATATTGTATAATGTATGAATTATTCACCATTCTCTGCACAGTTCTCTCTCTTACTCGTTTGTTCGCTCAGAAATTTACGTACCACGATTCTCTCGAGTTTAGGAGAGAGAGAGAAAAAAATGCCTTGATCCGAGATTAGTGGCAGTACGGGCAGAGTCGCGCGCGACGCGTGAATGGTATAACACGGGAGCTAATAATATTTTCGTAAAACATTGCCTTCAATATAAACGCGTAGCGGCAGCAAAAGGTTCGAATAAAGCACGCCGTGCTATATAGCTCGCTGCTGCTGCAAGTTGGACGCGAAACTAACACTCGCGCTCGTGCAGCTAGCTCGCTCGCGCGTCGAGATAATGGCTGAACAAATATAAAAATAGTTTAGCTTATATAGGAGAGCTGCTGCTGCTGCTGCGTTGCAGGGGGGAGAGCTCCATTGCAGTGTGTGTGTGTAGAGAATATATAAGGAAAGTTTGCAAATAAACGCGCGCTAGAATCCTCGGCAGCTCGGCTGCGATTTGCATTGTGAGCCGCGCGCGCGCATACATGGGCCGTATACACATCATAAATACACATCACGCATACACACGCACACTACACATAGACATAGCGAGTTACTCGCGCGAGTACAACTTTATTTCATCCCCCATTGTTGGAATCTTGGGCGCTCAAAGGAAAAGCGCGCGCGAATTTCCCGCTGGCGCACGCGGAATAGCTCTGCAGCAGCCGGGGCGGCGGCAGCGCGTTTGTAGCTCAAAGCGCGCAAGCTCGACGTCGAGCTCGACTCTCTGGGCTTTACGACTACTTTTCACAATTATAGTATTCGCAAAAGGCTTACTCGCGTTTATATATAGTACTATATAAAAGCTAAAGCGCGCAGAGACGTACAGGCTCATGGGGTATATAAGCGCTTGGATCACAAGCGAATTCGCAGCTCCCATAGCTAGTAGAGCTTGCCGTAGACCCTTTGCTCTGCGTGCAGCAATTGCCTCTCTCACGCGCGCGCGAGAAGTGAAAAATCAGCTACTGCCTACTCAACTACGCGAGCTTTCGCCATCAAATATTGAGGATCCTCCGCGTAGACTGCTCTGTAGCAGCAGCCGGACCTGGGACTTTTCAGCCAGCCAAATATTTGCGCTCGGGATACATAGTGCATGTACAGCTCGTCTCGTCTAGCTAGAAGCTGCTGCTGCAAAAGCGCTTACTTGTCGTCGCTGAATATTTCAACTGACGCGCCTGACGACGCCAGCGAGTCCAGAGAGCTACGCTAGCTATAATACGTAAGAAGGTGTACGAGAGGCACGTGCTAGTTGAATATATACGCATTTATACGTATACGGACTTTGCATTTAAACGGCTGCGTGTGTGTATATCTGTATATCGTATGGCTCGAAAGAGGCGACTTCGTTTTCATTAACCCAACCCGAGTTCGGCAGAAAATAGCTGAACGCGCCCGATCCGTATTGTATATATATGTGCAGCAGCATACGGATCGGCACGCGGGGGTGAGTTGTAAATCGAGTGGGTTAGAGAATTTCCGTATGTACGGGGGATTTAGTCCGTGTGCGCGCTTTTATATATAAACGCGTGCGTGCCGCTGCAGTATAGAGCCGCCTCGCGCGCGCGAGAGCCATGCGAGAGAGA